TGTGTGTGGTGTAGCTATGAGCGGCATTGACTCGATGGCAGTGAGGCTGAAGAGTCAAAGCCCTAAGGCGCTGTCCTCCTCGAGCCCGTAGGGTTGCTGTGAGTAGGAATCAATTCAAAGGCAGTGCATTTTGGATTTGGTTAGGCCTTCTCTCCCGAAACACCATCTCACTCTGGGCTTTGTCACGGAGGAGTCTCCTGGGATATGTACCCAGGGGTACAAAGTGGACATGTGTTTAGACAAGGTTGTTGGCATGTCCCACAAAGGCATTTCTCTGTACAGCTTTGCCACAGGAAGCCCTATTTCTGGGCACTTCCACGATCCCTTTCTTTGTTTTAACTTTATCTTAGCATCTGTCTTGGCTCAGGGGCTCTTATCTGTTTCCTGTTAGGTAAAGAGGGATTAACAATAGACTCAAAGCAAATAAATAAAGGATGGACTGGAAGCATAGGTTCCAAGCATTTTTTTTGACCATTGCTAATGAAAACAACAGCAATATAAAAGGGGGAACAAAGGAAACAAAAACAGAAGTCAGAGCAAACGCACTATTTATGTCAACAAATAGAAATGGATACCAATCAGGGGAAAACTTTCTCAGACTAGGTTTGAAATGAAAATGGGAGTAGCACGCTTAAGAGGGGCAAGCCTAAAACAAAATATGAATAAAACCACCAAAGTCCCAATAGAAAAGGGGACACAAGATAGAAACTATTCAGGTAAGGAAATAAGAGTGGCTAATAAAAATAGGAAACATAAATTCAAGTTCACTAGCAACAAAAAAAGTGTAGAATTCCAAACTCACTTCCTGCTCATGGCAATCCCATTGTGACTGAGTAGATAGGGCTGCTCCTTTGGTTTCTAAGACATTTAATCTTTACAGGAGTAGACAGCCTCAACTTTCTCCCCAGGGGTTCGAACCACTGACTTGGCAGTTAGACTGATGTGTATCTCAATACCGCCAGGGCTCCTGAAGATACCACTTTTTTGTCTGTCAAACCAGCAAGGTGGTAGTTTCTCCAGACATTTGAACTTGGAATGCTGGTGCTGAAGTACGATGAAACCAATACCAAGGAGCCCCGGGGCTGTAGGGGTGAGGTGCTCAGCTACTAATCAAAAGGCTGCTGGTTCAAACCTCCCAGAGACTCTGAGACAGGAAAGAAACAGCAATCTGTTCCTGTAAGGATTACAGCCGAGAAAGCCCCCCGGGGCTGCTCTGCTCTGTCACATGGGGGGTTTTGAGTTGAAAATCAATACCACAGCATCTCACAACAGCAGCAACATCAAGACCAGCTGTTTCCAGGTAGATTCCTACTCGTGATGATGTCAGGTGTGTTAGCGTGGTGCTGGGCTCCAAAGGGTTTTCAATGGCTAATGTTTTTGGAAGTCAATCTCCAGGCCTCTCTTCTGAGGTACCTCTGGATGGATGTGAACTTCCAATTTTCCATTAGCATTTGCACCATTGGGGCTGGCCCTGGGTTAGACATTGGGCTGCAAACAGCAAGGTGGGCAGTTCAAAACCAACAGTCACTTCATGGAAGAAAGATGAGGCCGTCTGCTCTCGTGAAGATTGATAGTTTCAAAGACTCAATGTAGGGCCAATATGAGTTGGAGGCCAATTAATGACAGTGGGTTTGGGTTTGGAGTCTGGGGATTTCTAGGGGTTGGCCAGTTATTTATAAACTCATGAAAAGCAGTTTTTATGAAGTATAAAGAATAGGAAAAGTTTTTGATATTTCGAACTGATTTTGTTTAACTTACATTCATAAAATGAACTTTGATCTTTAGCTTATGAAACTTATAAAATTTTACATAAACTAAATCCCATTTTTATTAAAGATTTCAAGGTAATAAAAAAAACTGCAAAGTATTAGGAGAAAAGATAAAAGAATACTTTTAGATTCTTAGCTCGCTGGAGCTGTTTCTAAGTATGTCATGAAAAGCAGATGCCTTAAAGGAACCTATTGGCTGCTTTGATGACCTGAAAATAAACAGGTGAAATGACATGTAATAAAGTAGGGAAACATATTGATGACATGTGTAACAGGAAAAATAAATCTTGACAACATATCAACAGCTTCTACATCCTGATCATGAAAAGGAACCAGCCAAAGGCTATGTACAAGGAATGAAAAGAATCAGAGATATAAAGGGCTATATTAAAATACTGACCTTGGTTAGTCATCAGAGAACCACAAATACAACAGCATATTATTATTATTATTAAGGTGTTTGCCTCCCTATTAACCAAAACGTAATCGCGTATACTCAGACGCTCTTTGGCATAGGCCGGAGTGTGACAGACTAGACACTTTCCCATCAGCCACTTTGGACAGAAGTAGAAAGAGTTAAGACCATTTTGGGGGAGGGGAGGGTATCATTGGTATTAGTACCTATTTAAAAATTTTAAGTGTGCATGACTCTTAGTTGGATAATTTTGCTGCCAGGACTATAAATTTCAGAAATAACTATGTGTAAAAAGCCAGAAATCCTGGGATTATCACCACCATTTTACCTGAGAGAATGGAAAACGGAGAACAACTTACACGACCATCATCAGAGAACCGATGAAATCAATGGGGACCCTTTTGTATCAAAGATATTTGATAGATGTGAAAAAGGAATGGATAAAATCCTACGGACACAAAATGATTTCTAGGATGTGATCTTGGATAAAATGAGCCCGATTCTCGTTTTGTTCAAGCACACTAAAAGGAGTGGGACCCTGGCGCTGCGGGGGTGGGGTGGACATCTGGTGGTTAACTGAGAGGCCAGCGGGTCCTCTGTGGGAGAAGGAGGAGGCAGCTGGCTTCCATCCAGATTACAGCGTAGGAAATCTAAGGGGCAGTCCTGTTCCGTTCTGCGGGGCCATGATGCCTGGGAATGGACTTGACAGCAAAGGGCTGTGGTTTGCTAGCGCTATGTCTCCGTACCAACAGGTAGACATACAAAACGAATCCCATCAGTGATCACACACAAGTTGTTCATTGCGGTTACTCCTCGGGAGCTGAATCAGTGAGAAGCCTCTTGCCCGCTCCTTACACCTTCTGCATGGCTCCCTGTGTTTTTGTCGGTTTCTTTTGTTTTCCTGAGAACTTGTAACTTCGTTTTTCATTTGTTTATAGTTAAAGAGAATACTCTCAAATGAAATGTCCAAGTTGTCCGTGTAAAATGAGTAACACGCCAGATTCTCTAACCCCGGAATCATCTGGATAGACTCCATCCTTATTCTTCTGACAAAATCACCTGGCTATTCCCTCTGCGCCTCAGTGCTCTGCGCACAGAGACAGTCCAGGGAGCCGGCAGCGAGGCCGGGGCTTCCGACTGTGACCCACTAGACGGGCTTGCAACGCAGGGCGGGCAGGTAGTAATAATAGCTCAGATGCCTCTGGGCCAGGACAAGGCGGCGTGGCCCTTGGGCACATGCCCTGGGAGAGGAGGACCCGTGGGTCCTACAGCAACAGATCCCGGTTCTCACTGGCTGTGCCAGGTGGGAAAGGGGTCCACTTCTATCAGCTCCACCACTTTTCTTATCAAGCCAGAAATCTCAGTTTCTATGTAAATATCTCACTTTGGGCAACAAATGAAGGCATGGTTTTGAACGTGTCTAGCCAAATTAAATAGTTCTACATGTCTGCATGTGGATGGCGGGCATCCTGTTTGTCACCTCTGATGCACATGCAAGGTGAGTTGGTAAACTCCGCCTTGAGGCTGATCTTTCATTTAAACCTTGACCGACATGCATTCCTACCCCCTCTCCCCACCCACCCTTTCAAGGGCTGAATTTCAAGAGAAAACAGGCCTCCCTATAGCCCTTATATTGTGGGCATTTCAACACACGGTTTTCTCCAACTCTTCTAGCAGGTACATCCGAGGTTACAAACAGGACATGTACTGAGGGGCTAACCACAAAGTCAGTGGTTCAAATCCCCCATCAGTTGCTCCGCAAGCAAACACTGAGGCCATCTATCCCCATGAAGAGTGACAGTCTTGGAAACCCAAAGGTGCTTTCCCATCGTGTCCTACAGGGTGCCTATGAGTCAGAGGCAGTGAGCGTGGGGAGCCCAGGGGGTTCGTGACTCTTTGGGCTGCTAACTGCACAGTCAGCAGCTTGAAATCACCAGTTGTTCTTCAGCAGAAAGACGCGGCCTTCTAGTCCCCGTCACCACGTACAATCTCAGAAACTCACAGGGACAGTTCTTCTCTGTCCAATGGGGTGGCTATGAGTCAGAATTAATCCCATACATCTGCAAGCAGGGTAATAACCCACCAAACGCAAACCTCCCTTGTCCTCACTCGGAGTGCGGTGTCAGCAGCAAGGAGGCTCGCAGGAGGAGGGGAACTTGGGCTTTCAATGGTCTGGCTGACTCTCACATCCTTCCTTTCTCTGCCTGTCTGATGAAGCGTGTGATGGCTAGTTTAGGACGGTCACTTGACTTTCTGATGAGGTTTTATAAATACTCCTATGCTAAGTTATTCTTTTTCACCAAGTCTTTCCCCCACAACTCAAAGTCAATCTGTTAAGCTCACTTGACCCCCTAGGTTTGTGAGGAAATTCATGAGGCGGGTCATTGCTTCATGTGTTCTATAACTGAAATGTGACCAGGTGTGGTACACTTGCTGACAGTAGAACAAAACGCCTTCACAGAGACACGAGCCCACGAATCCGTATGTCTGAGGGACCCGGTGAAGTAAAATGGAAGCTCCCAATAACGAATCTGGATTTAAAAAGAAAAACGAAATCCACGTTACCTGGTCACTTGGTGTACGATACCAGCGTCGAGGCCGTTGTCCAATGGCATCCCGGTCCCTCTGCATCCTTGCCCAGTCTTCCTGCCATCCGTGAGCTTGATGCCACGGCTTCGCCCTGGTGAGCCTTTCCAGAACGGCTCGGTTCTCCTTCTGCACTCTGCGAAGCTCCTCTTCTCTTTTTCTCCTGTTAAGGCTCCAACAAACAAACAAAACCCCACAGCACGCATGCTTCTTGAACGGCCGAGCTAGTGACAGAATGTGTGGCAGCAAACGGGTCCTTCTGCACTCAAGAGAATGAGACTGTGTGTCGCAAGGCCAGGGGGCTGACCTCCCTTGGAGGGAGACCTTCCCACAGAGGTCCGCATGTGAGCACCGTGTATCCATTGTACTAGTGTTAATGTTCTGCATTCTACTTTGGGGAGTAGTAACTGAGGTCTTAAGAGTTTGCTAATGAGCCATTTAAATTGCAACTATTCTGGAGCAAAAAAGAGCGGAAGAAAATCAAAGACGCACAGAAACAATTAGTCCAGAGGGTTAAAGGACCATCTGAACCTCAGCCCTCCATGACATCGAGACCAGAAGAAGGTGATGGTGTCCAGCCACACAGCTGACAGCTCTATCAGAGATCACAGTCGAGGGAACCGATTCCAAGGAACTATATGTGACCTCCTTCCTGGGGGACGGACAACCGAAAAGTGAGTGAAGGGAGACGTCGGACAGGGCAAGATATAACAAAATAACAATTTATAAATTATCAAGGGCTCATGAGGGAGGGGGGAGCGGGAAGGGAGGGGAAAAATGAAGTCCTAATGCTGGGGGCTTAAGTGGAGAGGAAATGTTTTGAGAATGATGAGGGCAATGAATGTACAAATGCACTTTACACAATTGATGTGTGTATGGATTGTGATAAGAGTTGTATGAGCCCCTAATAAAATGTTTATGCAGAGGGTTATGCAGAGAGTGGAGGAAAATGTGGGACAAAACTCAAAGTCATATAAAAAGACCAGGCTTACTAGTTGGATAGAGGTTTCTGGAACCCCTGAGACTCTGGCTCTCAGACACCTTTGAAGCCCAGAACTGAACTCACCCCTGTGACTCACACAATAGATTGATAACGTGAACACAAACACTCTTCCTGAATGCACCCCCCACCATTCAGCCCCTGGCTTGGCTGTATGCACTGTCTTCATTGCACTGAGAAAGGAAGGGGCCGCAGGAGTGAGGCAGAAAGAGGGGTGAGCTTGGCCCCCCTCCAAGAGAGGCAGAGGCTGGTGGGCTCAGGAGAGGTGTCTCCACCTGCCCCCCCCCTTTGCCTGATGGACCCCCTGGTGGAGCAGGTGCTTCTGGGCAGGCCAGCCTCTAATTTGCACCCCTGAAAATCACGGAATTGAATTTAGATAGATTGAGTTTTAAAATCTTTTTGGAGTCGGGGATGTCGTAATTTAAACCATGACGATTTCCCTGCCCAGGCGCAGAGTCCTGTATACAGATGCTGTTTAGAGGGAATCGGAAAAAATGCCAAGCCTTTTTCTCCCGGAATGTGCTGTCCATTTTTATAACTGGGCTTGTCCATATGTATAAAGAGAGACTCATTTTTCTTTAACTAACTGGAGAAAAATCTTAAATAAAATGGAGTGAGATCATTTTATGGTTCAAAAACAAATCCTTAGAGCAATCAACCATAAGAGATCAAAAGGGCAGCTTTCGCCCAGGGATAAAGTCCAGAAGTCCAGAAGGGAAAGAAAGAAGGGCAAACGGAAACTGTCAACAGGGGAAGGAAGTCCAATTGATATCATGACACAAAATGTGTACTAGGACTGTTGACTGGAAAACAAACGTGCTCCTTGTTGGTTGCCCTAAAATTTCACTGCAACCTCAATCTAAAGTTTAAAAATACAAGAAATAGACCAAGTATTCTTCAAAGGCTGAGAGGTGATGGGTTTCAGAAAGGTAGCAATCAGAGAAGGAGGGATACTGAAGCCTAGTCTTGGAAGACTCATAGATGCTCGGCAGGCAAAGGAAAGTAGGCCCTTGCAGGCTGCTCGGTCGCCTGAAGCAGAAGGGCGCAGGGGAAATGCACGTTTGCTGGTGGCACCACATGATGGGAGGTGGATAGGTGGAGTTTTGGAAGACCTTCCGTGCAGCTTTAAAAGTTTTGGCATTGTCTTGAAGCCAGATGGTTTTAAACAGGGATTGATGAATTAGAATGTATCATTTTAGAAAGATCACTCTGGAGAGAAGGTGTAGAATGGATTAGAAAACATGAGATTGGAGGAGAAACCAACTAAAAACTGATTGTAACTCTCCAGGTGAGACATGAAGATGGCTTGAGTCAGGCAGCAGCGGCAGATGAGAAGAGACAGTTATAGCGGAAGGAAAAATCGCAGCTGGGATTAGATTTAGATATAGTCATGGAGAAGCACAAGAAATGAAGTATGAATGATAGGCTTTTGGAATGAGTAGCTCATTGAGTATGAGGCGATTCATTAAAATAGGGATTATTTTAACTTCCTGTGTAGCAGGCATGATTCTAAATGCTTTGTACACGCCGTGTCTCATTGGTTTGTGTGCTACTAAGAAGGAAAGGGTCCTTAGTGGTGCAGTGGTTAAGTGTTTGACTGCTAGCCAGAGGTCAAGGCCAGTGGTTTGGATCCACCAGCTGCTCCAAAGGAGAAAGATGCGGCAGTCTGCTTCTGTAAAGATTGACAGCCTTGGAAACCCCATGGGGCAGTTGTGTGCTGTTCTGTACGGTCACTATGAATCAGAACTAACCGGACAGCAATGAGTTGTTGTTTGGTTTTTTATTTTTGAAGAAAGACAAATCATTGCCAGTCAAACTATTTCATGCCAACATAAAGTCCATCGATGAAAAAGAGGGACAGACTTAAACACCCTCATACAAGGCATAGTATACTCCCGGACACAATGCAAAATACCCATATTCCAGGAGACAAAATAGAGGTCTGGGGCCTTCCAAAAATATAATGATGTGCTTCGTGAAAAGAGTTAAAAGAGAACTCACAGATTGGGAAAAAAGATTTAGCATTGATACATCAGATAAAGGGTTAATTTCAAAAATCTATAGAAGACTACACCTCAATAAGAAAAATACAAATAACTCAATCAAACAATGGACACAAAACACGAATAGGAAGTTTACTAGAGATGACATCCAGGTGGCCAACAATCATATGAGGAAATGTTTCATTTCATTAGCAATAAGTGAAATGAAAATTAAAACGACGAGATACCACCTCACACTGACACTCTTAGCAAAATTAATAGAAATAAAAAACAAAACAAAACAAAACAAATGCTGGAGAGGATGTGGAGAGACTGGAATGCTCAAATATTGCTGATGGAATTGTAGAATTATACAACCACTGTGGAAAACAGCAATGCACTTCCTTACACAAATGCAAATCCAAATACCTTAGGATTCTACACTCTCTCCTCTTGGTATAGGCCCTAAAGAAATAAAGAACACTACATGAACAGATATACACACACCTATGTTTATTGTGGCAATTTCTATAATAGTAAAAAAGATGGAAACAATCAAAAACTTCAATCAAAACTTGTATAAACAAACTCTAGTACATTCGCACAATGGAATGGTTTGCCTCCTTAAAAACCAATGAAGAGTCGGTGAAACACCTTAAGACATGGACACAATCAGAGAATACTGGGCTTAACAGAGCTAGTCATTCTCATAAATGCAAATGTTTTAGGGCAGCATGATTAAAAAGGAAAATGAAGAAAATTAAAGTGGTCTTCACACCAACGGATAAGAGTTTAAGGATTACAATTCGGCTGTGGGGGGGAGGGAAGGGACAGGACAGCATGGGGGGAGGGTGGGCACAGGAAACTTCAAAAAGAAGGAACTAAAGCACCCCATATGGGGGGGTTAATAGGGTGCTGCTGCTGACTTCACTTGAAGAGACAGGCTGTATAATGTCTTAAGACGGTTTGGGGGTGGGTTTTTTTTTGGTAAGCATTATATGCCACAAAGAAAAGGGAAAAATTAGAAAATATAGATCAATCAATCATAACAAATGAAGTTAAAAGTAAACAGGCACGCACACGAGAGAAGGACGATCAATCGCAGCCTTACTCACTGGATCTGAACAGTGGTCTGAGCGGCTATCCGAGGGGGGCAAAGAAAGCGGAAACGGATTTGAATTCTTCCGTGGCAGACAAGGTAGTTTCAACCAACAACAAAAAGCCATTTCCTGCCGCACACTGTCAGAGGCACTCCCATTTCAGAACTATTAAGAGTAGTGTGCTTTAGGCCTGCTGAAATGTGATGACCTCATATGGTCCTAATAATAAACTCAAAGATAAAAAATCCCAACCAAGCCCACTGCCATGGAGTCAGTGCTGACTTGTAGCCACCCCCTGTGGGTTCCCGAGAAGGTCACTGTTCACAGGAGTAGAAAGCCCGGTCTTTCTCCCGCAGAGCTGCTAGTGCTTTTGGACTGCCGACCATGGGTATCACAACCTAACACGTAACCACTGCTCCCCACCACCAGGCCGCCCTTGATAGTCACCTTACCGAAAAAGACAGCAGATCTAACCAGTGGTTGAGCTGGAACTTGGTCTAAGCAGGGTTGGGGTCGTGGTGGGACAGTTAGGTGGAGCTGTGGGACCCGTGCTCAGGAATGACCACAGGGCTGAAGACATGGATTCATAGCCTCTAAGTCAGTGGTTCTCAACCTGTGGGTCTCAACCTTTGGGGGTGAATGAGCCTTTCACAGGGGTCGCCTGATTCATAATAGAAGCAAAATGACAGTGATGAAGTAGCAACGAAAATAATTTTATGGTTGGGGGGGGGGGTCACCACAACCTGAGGAATTGTATGAAAGGGTCGCGGCACTAGGAAGGTTGAGGACCACTGCTCTAAGTGATGGCTGATGTGAAAGGCATGGGAAACCTTGCCAGCAGGAACACACACACCAGGAAGGGGCAGGGGCAGCACCATTCAAAGTACTTTAGGGAGGCTGGCGGGCAAAGGAGACCCCAAGGAAAGTGATTATGGCGACAGGAAGCTTAATAGAAAGTGGGGAAAGTTCCAACTTGTGGGGAATGGACACTGATGGGGATGACACAGAAATGCCATAGAGTTGATTGGGTCATAAAATTGACATTCGCTTAAGTCAAAATTATCGAATACACTGAGCATAAAAAGAGTATGTCTGAAAAGAGCCCACGCACAAATGATCAAACAAATATGTCTATTTCAGCATCATACATAATGTACATACATACATAACAAATTCTGAGAAATTCAGAATTACTCTACAGATCCAACAACATGGGACGAGTAAGGAAATTGGTGCTCATTAAGTGATGTTCTTGATAACATTTGTTTCAATGACTTGCAAACCTCTTGTCACTGAATGTCAAGTGAACAAAGTCAGGATATAAGATGACAGTTGAGGCACTATTTTAATTACAGTTAATGCATTTCTATGTGCATAAAGAGATGATACTATGGCAATATAGACAAATATATAAAATATAAGATTATTATCTTGGAGAGATGAAATTACAAGTTACTATAATTTCTTCTTTATACTCTCGAATGTAAGTATTTTTATAGTCAGGAACAACTTGGAATTTATTTGAAAAAAATTTAAAGTGAAAAAATAAAATCAACGAATTTAGCAACCCAGAGGTTATTGGTGACCTTACTTGTTCCGTCATTCAAGAACTATTTAAGAAGCACGCTGTGCCAAGTGCTGTACTGGGCATTGGGTATGTAACACCGTACAAACCGAACAAGAGCTTTATGGTTACGAGGCTCGTAGTTCAGTGGGAAGTCCAGTCAGTGAGCACGTAAATCTGTAAACAAAGGGTTACAGATTATGAATGGTGATAAATGCTATGGAGCAAAAGACCAGAATGGAGCCAAGACCCTCTTTGGTAACGTTTAAGCTGGAGCTAAAGGTTGATTAAGAGATGGTTAGACCTAGAGTGGATTTCTGGGTGGTACAAGCAGTAAACATGCTCTGCTGCAAACCCAAAGACTGATGGTCCATTCCACCCAAAGGCACCTTGGAAGAGAGACCTGGAGAACTACTTCCACAACACAGGCCATTGAAAACTCTGTGGAGGTCTGCTCTGACCCAGGCGGGGTCACCATGAGTGGGGGTGGCCTCAGCAGTAACTCGTTTGCTGTTGTTTGCTTCTGTGGCTGGAGCAGAGGGCAAACCCTCTAGAGTCCTGCCCAGAGGCGAGGAAGAGCTCCTGAAATAGAGGGGGGCGGTAAAGGAGCGTCACTGACCCACCGTTGTAATCGACACCATTGTTCAGTCCCAGGCAGTCCCTTCCCCGTTGTTGTGTCTTCCTCCATGAGACCCCTACTCGGATCAGTGTGTAAATTAGGTGCCATCCAATTGTCACTCTTCTTTCGCCTTCTCGGAAAGTGTGACTCTGAGTTCTACAGGAGCCTGGAGGGGCAGTGGTTACATACTGGACTGCGATCTTCAACCCCGAAACCACCAGCCCTCCAGTAAGAACGACGGAGCTCTTGAGTTACAGTCTAACTCACAGGTGGCAGTTCGATAGGGTCACGAGGGTCGGCATTGATTAGATGGCAGCAAGTTTGGTTTTTTCTTAGTTATACCTACGGATGAGCTGAGGCTTAAGAGGACCAAGTTAAGATGTAGTTGAGTGCAGACTAGAGGGAACAAAGTGAACCTTTGACTTATATGTACAAGCATGTTCCTATCTACATGTCCTGTAATGGCCTCACAAAATGACCTTTTCTGGATTATCTATTATTGTCAGATAAGCCTTACATTTCTTCCCCTGTTTAAGTGAGTTACTCGCAGCTGATTTCAGCTTTATTTCCCCCTCCACCAATTTTCATGTAATCAAATTTTGACCTCTAGGTAGAATTAAAAGCTCCTTCTGTAACAGTAAACGACTCCAGCCCTCTTTAAATCACGTGAGAGATGAGGCAGTCTTTGGGATCTAGACGTGCTTATTCACTTTGAATATAGCAGCTATCGCTTGCTCCTTAGGAAGGCGTTCTTATCTAGGCCTCTGTGTAGAAAGTCAAACAGAGTAAGCAGACAATGGGGGAAGAGTCTCCAGAACAGTCCATTGTCATTCACCATCCCCGTCAAAGGATTCCTGGTTGTTGTAGTAGAGTATACATACTGAGCACATGTTTGTTGGCAGAAGGCAATGAATAACAGTGAAAGCTCCAAATCTGTTTGTAGAGGCCCTATGTGGATTAAGCTTCCACTGAAATTTCTTCTGACCATTAACTGGGAACATCCACCCGCTTGCCCTCAGGCAGAGTGCATTAGAAAGTGGATTACCACCACTACTACCACCACAACCCAACCAGCCCAGAGGGAAGCAGCCTCCCTTTAGGGGCTTGATGGGGTGTGTTCTTGATGGACAATGCTATAGTGGGGTCACAGAGTCAGGAGTCAAGCCTTGACGGCCTTAGCTGGAAGGCCCTGGACCAATTGTCAACTCTTGTGTCTAACAGAATGTACGCATCTCAATCATGGGTCTATAGTGCCACCTGCAACTATGGTGTGCTGACTGTCATCAATCATGCTTCTGTGACAGTTTTCTTTGTCTTGTCTTCCTGTTTAAGACTTAATAAATATTATCTTTAAATTCTATTTGAGATTTGGGGTCTCCTTTATACCCTAAAACACGGTGCATTCAGACTGCAATTGGAACCCACCAACTGCTGTGTAGGAGAAAGATGAGGCTTTCTATCTCTGGAAAGCCCTGGAAAGCCTAGGGGGTAGTTATACTCTGTACCTAAGGTCACTGAATCAGAATCACCTTCACAGCTACGCGGTAGATGATGAGAAAGACTCCCCGTTAGCCTCGGTTCCAGATCACAGCATCAAAAGCTGTGAGGTCTGGAATGCACCTTCTAGACTGCCTGGCCCAGAAGTCCATGAATAAAATTCACAAGTCCAAGAACTTGAATACCAAGGACATTTCATCGTGATTTTCACTGGAATGTGGTCTTTCCTTCAATTATAAGTCGAGGCAACAAATCAAGCAGCCCAGGGCTGTATTACTAATAATTTCAGATATTATGGTAATTGCATGCTTTTTGAAACATTGTTTCTATCCATCACTTGGAAATTATATGGCTATTATATCTATTGTGAGATATTGTTATTGAAAGTGTTATTGAAGAAGTGCATATTATTTTATCATTAGAAACATATTGCACCATGTTTCAATATGGTTGGCTACCCAGCAGTCTGTGGGGTTCATCAGGTTTGAGGGTGATGGCGGAAGGGTGGGGGTGTGTGTCAAGTGTTACCTCCTGTGCTGGTAGTCGTTTCTGTTGTCAGTCTGTCCCTTGGTTCGCATGATGTAGGCTATCTTCTCCAGGAGCAGGCGGTTGTCCCTGTCGATGATGGAGAGCCTTTCCTCCTCGAGCTGTGGACAGACAAGGGCCCTTCCAGAAGCACCGGCCGCCTTCCTGCTCCGTCACTCTGCAGTGTGCTTGGGGAGTGCCCCCCAATCCCTTGCCTTCTTGGACTGGAGCAGGCTCTGTGGTCTTTGCATGCCTCATTTACATAGTAGTGTGCGCTGTCACAGCCAACCCATGCTCCCTTGACTATGAAATGGGATATTTTAGGGGGAAGCCCGATTTTATGCCCTGGGACAATGTTAAGACAACGGGACAAGAAGGTATCTTGTAAAATTAGGCCAGCCTCAAAACCCTGTGACAGTGACAATGTAGAGGAAATCATCTCTTAAGAGAGCAATTACTGTTCAGAAGAAAATAGCCCCCAAGGCAGTGGGTACAGGGATGGGGTGGGGAGGGAGAAGCGTGTCTCTGCCTTAGGCTTTTTAAATGGATGAACTTGCTGATTTGCTCAAGGCTGTTGCTTGGATTTTGTTGTTTCCATTTATAATTGTACTGCTTCCTAGGTGCATAAAACCCCCACAGCATGTTTCTTTTGTGTGTGTGTGTGGGGTAATCCCTATCAGCAGAGCCAGGGGTTTCTAACTCTCCCCCCATGGCCTCAACTCAAGAAAACGTATTTGGAGGTGATTAAGAAGGGGTCCGGTCCCCAATTCTACTTTACAAATCTGGCTAGACCAGAGCATGTACACAGGTACAGATAAGAACTGGAAACAGGAAATCTAGGACAGATAAACCCCTCAGGACCACTAATGAGAGTACAGATACCAGGAGGGGAAGGGGAAGGTGGGGGGGGGGATAAGGGAGCCAATTGCAATGATCTATATATAATTTCCTCCCAGGGGGACAGACAACAGAAAAGTGGGTGAAGGGAAACATTGCTCAGTGTAAGACATGAAAAAATAATAATAATATATAAATTATCAAGGGCTCTTGAGGGAGGGAGGTTAAAAATGAGGAGCTCGATACTGGGAAGGTAGAGGGAGAGTGGGTAGGAAAGAGGGAACCGA